GTTCGCCCAGGCCATTGCCCGCCGCCACCCGAGGTCACTGCGCGTCGGAAGCCTCGGTCCTCCTCGCCCTGCCCCCCGGGCTGAGCGGTCCGACCGTCTGGGGTTTGCTCCTGAGTGACTGGGTGCACCTGTCCGACCTGGTGGGTCTGCAGCGGGCCCGGGACTCCTTAGAGATAAACCGCAGCCGAGTGGGTCGCCACCGGGTTTTACACGGCGTTTCCACCTCTCACATCCCCTCTGCTCTGAAGTCATCTCTGACCTGGAGGGTCGGAGAGCAGGGGGGTGCAGGTGCTGTTGGAACCGCCACGCCAGGTGGGAGAGGGGCCGGAAGCCCCTGACGACACATTTTGGAAAACGTCACCAAAATTATGCGTGCAGACGTGCTTTAACGGATTTATCCTTCGTCAGTGCTCTTGCACACGGACAGCGATGTGTGTGTAGGACTGGGTCAGTCAAGTGCTCATCTCCGTGCAATACCTTGAGGTTGTGAACGCTGCGTATAGTTTGCTACTATTTGTGTAAATCGGTTGGGAGAATATATTCCTATCTACTTGTATATGCATAAAGTGCACTTGGAAAGATACTAAATAAAGTGGTCATTTTAGTTTCTTTGGAGGGAGGAACTGGTTGCTTGGGAGATGGGACGGGATGGAGATTTCCCCCCTCCGTGACTTTTTGTGCTTTCTGAACTTTTCAGTGCGTTAAAAATATGTACAATCTTAAAAGTAAAAATAACCCTTGTTTTCTGAGTGTGAATGCTAAATAAAACATTTTTCCAATGTGAGAAGGAACTTAATAAAAGATCTTAGTTACTCACTGAATAGAATCAAAGCAGGGCCCCAGCTGCTGCTCTGAAATTCACCCCTGAATCTGCATCCAGGCCAGGTCATGCGTCCTCAGCGTTAGTTCCTAGCCCACTGAGGACAGAAACACGAAAGCGGACCTTTTCTGGGGAAGATGGGCCTCTCTGTCAGCACACTTTGGATCAAGGACTTGTTCTGAGGGGTTTTGCTGCACCTTTCTTGGAATGCAAGGTAGTCCAGGCACTTCCAACCTTCTCCCCTCAGTCCTTCGAGGGAGCCAGACTTGCAGGGAAGTCTAAAGGCTCTCCCAGCCTTCTCTGGTCTCCTAATAAAATCCTTGCATGTTTAATTTTGGCAAATGTTTCCCCAAGTGGACTAACAGCGCATCCAACAATTTCTTTGGATGTTACCCCTTTGCCACGACTTAAAACTGAAAACGAATGCTCTATGGATAGAGATATTAGTCTTTTTACTGATAGGAAAAGGCTGGAGTGATATTCTTAGCTTTTATTCTTGGCCTTTCTTTCATCACAGCTCATTTCCTCATTCTCCCACAGTGCCTAGCACTCTATCTCACCAATGACTAGGGAGCTCTGTACTTCCTCATGTAGGAAATGGTTGGGTTGGATCAGATAGACCAAGTGGTTGCAAACTCAGATGCCTCTAGAGCAGTGGTTCTCAACCTTCCTAATGCCGCGACCCTTTAATACAGTTCCTCATGTTGTGGTGACCCCCAACCATAAAATTATTTTCGTTGCTGCTTCATAACTGTAATGTTGCTACTGTTATGAATCGTCATGTAAATATCTGATATGCAGGATGTATTTTCATTGTTACAAATTGAACATAATGAAAGCATAGTGATCAATCACAAAAACAGTATGTAATTATGTGTTTTCCGATGGTCTTAGGCGACCCCTGTGAAAGGGCCGTTCGACCCCGAAAGGGGTCGCGACCCACAGGTTGAGAACCGCTGCTCTAGAGCTAGGCAGGGACAATGGTGACCTGGTGAGCACACCCCCCACCTAGTACACAGTTAGCACTGACTTCCCACTGCAGGCCAAAGCATGTTTATGAACCATGTGGCTTCTGCTATCAGCTCAAGTCTTTTTAAAAACTGAAAAGTTTTTATTAAATAGATATACTTAATACATATATACAAGAAAAATAATCATGGTTTAAGGAACATCCAGGTACTTACCACCTAGTTAAAAAGAATATAAGCGACTGTAATGAAATGTCCTGTCCTCCTCCCTCCCTCCTGTTCTGAGGTAACCATTTTTCTCTGAATTAAAATCCTTTTAAAATTCTTGCAATATTTGTGACCCTAAACTATCATTAGTTTTGCAAAATTCTGAACTTTACTGAAATGCAATCAGACATGTTCTGTAAGTTGCTTCCCTCCCTCCCTCCTGTGTTGTCGCTTGTCACTAATTAATTTTCATATAGTCTTTCATTATATGAATAAGCCAAAATTTATTATTCCAGTAAACAGTTTTGGATATTTGGCTTCATTTTAGTGCATTGCTAATACATCCGCAGCAATATATCTTCTTTAAAAAATATTTTTATTGATTTTTAGAAAGAGGGTGGGGGAAGAGAAAGATTGATGTGAGATGTGAAGCTGAACTTCAATGGGCTGCTTCCGGCACGGTCCCCACCAGGGATGGAGCCCGCAACCCAGGCATGTGCCGACTGGGAATCGAAGCGGCAAACTTTCGGTGCACTAGATGATGCCCACTGAGCCACACCAGCCGAAGCTGTAATGAATCTCTCTGATACCTCTCAAGAGCAGTGGTTTTCAAACTGTGGGATATGCCCTGACTGGGGACCAAACCTGCAACCTTGGCATATCAGGACGATGCTCTAACCAACAAAGCTACCTGGCCAGTGCCAGAACCAACATTTTTGAAATGAATTAATTTAGGATGAATTTTAGATACATCTCATATTGTAAGGTGGGTTTCACGCAGCGTTTGCATGTTGCAACACATACCCATATCCTCTACCCCTCGACAAAACCGGTCCTACCAACATAGTTCCTGGTCTGCTCACATCCACACAAACGCAATATTAGGGTTTTTAATGTGCGCCAATCTGGTGGTAGTGAAATGGCTATCACTTTGGTTTTAATTTACATTTCCCTGATTACCACGAGATTGAGAACGTTTCCTGTTTGTCAGCCTCGTTGGATTATTTTTTAAAAGGTAACTTATCCTCCCAATTGTATAAATTGAGCAAATGCATCTTTGTAACCCGAGAAAACTGCCTTCTACCTGCTGACCTTCGCTCGGAAATGACTGCTGCAGGCCACACACAAACACAACTCCTCTCAGGTCGAGTACGATTCCGAAGGCAGAGAATGACCTCTGATGAGACAACCTTAAGAGAACTGAACCCTAGAGTAATGTACGGTCGACCTTTGACAGTCACAGGGATATACCCCAATACCTTTGAGAACCATTTAATCATTAAATACTACTTCAGAATAATTTCTCTAGTAAAAGTCTGTGCAGTAAGTAGAGAAAAGTAAGGCTATACATAGGAGCTGATGCTTGGAAATCAATTGGGCTTATTCAATGGCTCGCACACGCCAGCCTGTCAATCCTGATTCAAATTTGTGCTTCTGCAGAATCCGAGATTACTTTTCTGGTTTTAATACTTTGGAATTATGTGCAAATAGTTGAGACCACACATGTTAAATATTTGAATGCTAATTGTCTTCTGCACTTCCTTTTATTATCATCATAGCCTTTGCATCAGGATACACAGCAATGATAGCAAATTTCTTTTTAAAGCTTAGTATTAAATATTAAATATCTCTCCCCATTTTAATTTTACATTACTCTGCCAAGAAAAAAAATAAAACTCAAGTTATCTGAAGCCTGGACACACTTCCATGATTAGCTGCCGCCTCAAAGTTGGTGCCTTCTTCCTGCTGCCGTCAGACCCAGGCCCGAGACGGACCGGCTACGATCGTTTCTGAAAAGTGTGCTACAAAATGGATGGCCTGTTCCAAGCCAGGTTACAAAGTAAGGACGGGGGTAAGGGAGGGACATTTTCTTCCAGAAATAGAATT